TTATACTGCTGAAGTAGAATAAAATAACACAGAGAGATAAAAGAATCTTGATGGAGGGATTAGGTTCAACAGTTCCCGATTTTAAGAAAAAAGGCTTTTGAAGAAGAGCAGAGAAGGCAAGCCCTGAAGAAAATAATTAGCCAAGAGAAAGTGTTTTTGCTGGATTGTGGGAACAACCTGAAATGGCTTTCCCTTTGGGACCTCAGTTGCAGAGACTTTGCTGGCTGCCCCAGAGATTCCCTTACTGTCTTTGAATCATGAATCTCCACGGCTGCCTTCTGGGAAACAACTGCTGTCACCAGAGAAGAATGAATCACAGCAAGGAGGAAGGTGGCTAAATAGCCTGCTTGCAAAGAAGAAGACGTAGGGAAACACAACGGAGCTCAGCAGACTATATAAATTAAAATCCTCCTACCTTGTGAAAATAGGATATCAAAATGGATTAAGAAAATAAATTTCACTATATTCAAAGAAATAATGGAGCACTGCACAGGTGGACTGAATGCAGAGGGAATGGTGAAGGAAACAGACAATGATTCTCGACAGTGGCTGGAAAGGAAAGAAGAAAAATGACAATTCTTGATAAACTCTCACAAGCCTGAAGATGACTTTTTTTTTTTTTTCCCAAAAGATCTAAAAAGTACTGTACAAAGTACAGTGGTCTTTTCCCCCTGCAAGATTAATTAAAAATAATAATGCAGAAAACCCATGCACATGCCCTTTTGCTGAGTGCTTTCAGAACTGGTTCTCAGTAAAGAATAGTTTGGAACAATCTGTCTCTGGTACGCACCCAAAGAAGTCAATAAAACAACCCCAAAAAAGAGATTTTTTCCATTTTTATGTAATCTGAAATATGTGAAACAGCTTATTGGAGAACATGGAAACAGAGGAAAGATCACCCTTCACTTTAGATAGTTCACTGAGATTCCCTGAACAAATATTTGAATTCTTGCCTATATATCTCCTGGATATAAAAAATAACCCAGAAAAAGTCATAAAATAAAATTGTGGGACACAGTAATATTCTGTATCATTTGTTTCTTGTGTTATGTACTTGAAGAAACAAACTCACAGACATATCTGCCTACATTTCACTAGTTATATGTTTTGAAGGCTAAAGACATCACTGCAAAATTTCATTGGGTTTCTGAAATGCAAAACTGAAAAAAAATATATCTTCATCTTTCTGAGGCACAGTACATTTGTGCTATATTAAAAAGAGTACACTCAGTTCAAAAAAGTCATTAAATACAAATACATAATCGTGGCATAAAGTTCATAGACCCCCAAGTACACCTTTAAGTGTTTTTCCCGTAGCATAATTTCCACAGTTAATCAAATGAGAAGACGAGATTACATTACTTGACTTTTTCAGATCAGTTTACAGCTGAAAATTGCTTGTGAATTTAAACTTGCTTCTTTCCTTCTGGGAAAGCCCTCACCAAAGACTGTCACCTGAGCAGCACTACCACCTTGTGGCGTGGTGTTCCCAACCAAGAGGTGGCCAGTCGTCAAAACCCTGCAGAACAGATGTTCCTCTCACTGATGTTGGCAAACTCTGGAGTGCACAGAAGACACTTCCCCCTGTTATGGAATGGTCCAAAGCCCAGTGACATCAATTTGTCAGTCTGGTCACAGACAAACGCCAAAGAACTGAGAATTACTGAAGGTTCACACGTCTTGCTAGGAATAACAGAGATGGTTCTCTTTAAAGAAAGAAGTGAAGATGCTATTTTTATTAGTATCCAAAATGGTAATATACAAGCATCTACACAGCACTTGGTCCTGTAACAGGCTAGAAAACTTTATGGTGTCTTATGTAGGGAACCACAGGCTTCTATACTCAAAGGAATCAGTACCAAAGAGCACAGAATATGTACAACTTAATCAGGGGAGGAAAAACAATCAAGAAAATCATATGTCAGTAGAAAATAAATAATAATAATAAACATGACAAGGTGTGAATAAAGTTATTGAGTTCAAATTAAACCATAGACCAAGGCTCAAGTAAGTTCCTGCAAGGGTGCCTCAAACACCTAAACACTACTATGGTAAAAACAAGAGGCAGAAGCTCAATACTTGTACAAAATCCAAGCTGGAATAAAGATTTTTACAATCCAAAACCCCCTCCAGCCAAGTGAACAGGCCCACATGTAGCAGCCCAGAGGCAATGCTGAACACAGGTACGTGTCTGAGATCCACACCCTCTGTACAACATAAAAACGTGCAACTAACTCCAAAAATTCTTTAATAACACTTACCTTTTTTTTTTTTTTTTTTTTTTTTTTAATGTGAATTTCAGTCCTCTTACCACCCTACCAAGGAAAATGCACTTATAGAACCCTCTGTTACATTCCGTGAAACTGGCACTCCTTTCTAAACAGGCATATAACTTCAGGAGGAAAGACTTGGATGGGGGAATTTACAGGCCAAGCCAAAAAAAAGGGATTCCCAGAGAACAGAGACCAAATTTCAAATAAATCTGAGATCAATGGTATCCTTTTAATCCACATCCCAAGTAAGGCTGGATTAATGAGTGAGGTAACGCACTGCAAAGGACTGCTACTAGTGGGACACCTTTCCCAGTGAAAGAGGAAAGGATCTGGATAATCTACTGCCGGGAATACTACATATGGAGCAAAGAAATGCTTACTATTAAATTCCATTTACATTCTGTTGCCATTCCTACTACTTTTCTGAAACCCCAACTTTATGACTGTAATCTCTTTCCCCTGGATAGGCTTTCTTGTTTGTAACTCAGCTGTACATGCACCTGTATCTGTACAGGCTGGGGGATGACATGCTGGAGAGGAGCTCTGAGGAGAAGGACCTGGGGGTCCTGGTGGATGACAGGCTGACCATGAGGCAGCAGCATTCCCTCATGGCCAAGAGGGCCAATGGGAAACTGGTGTGCATTAAAAGGAGCGTGGCCAGCAGGTCAAGGGAGGTGATCCTCCCCCTCTACTCTGCCCTGGTCAGGCCTCACCTGGACTACTGTGTCCAGTTCTGGGCTCCCCAGTACAAAAAAGACAGGGATCTCCTGGAGAGAGTCCAGCGGAGGGCCACAAAGATGATACAGGGCCTGGAGCATCTTCCTTATGAGGAAAGACTGAGAGACCTGGGTCTGTTCAGCCTGGAGAAAAGAAGACTGAGAGGGGATCTCATCAATGTGTATAAATACCTGAGGGGTGGGAGACAGAGGGATTTGGCCAACCTCTTTTCAGTGGTTTGCAGGGACAGGACAAAGAGTAATGGCCATGAGATAGAGCACAGGAAGTTCCACACTGCCATGCGAAAGAACTTCTTCACGGTGAGGGTGACTGAGCACTGGAACAGGCTGCCTAGGGAGGTTGTGGAGTCTTCTTCTCTGGAGACATTCAAGGCCTGTCTGGACACCTACCTGTGCAGCCTGCTCTAAGGAATCTGCTTTGGCAGGGAGGTTGGACCCAGTGGTCTTTCGAGGTCCCTTCCAACCCCTTCAATTCTGTGATTATGTGATTCTGTGATTCTGGCAGTGAAATTCAGCAAGATTGAGGTCTTCCATGAGACTGCAGGTAGTCTGTTTCAGAGCATGGTGGCAAGCCAGATTAGATGTTTTCAAGGGCACTATGGACAAGTTCAGTACAGATTTTTGGTTGGATTTAACCAACTCAGTTCACAGCCTACATTATAATACACAAAAGTGTGACTAAGTCTCCCATTTTTCTAAGAATACAGCAAATATCATGGTCACTGTATGATGAACCAGATAAGGGAATTAGACCTATGTGCATTTCAGAGAGCAATCAAAGGGTATGAGGGGGGTCACAAAGAGAATTTATTCCACAGTTGGGAGAGAGAGCCATTTATCTCAAGTTGCAACCAACAAGGTCAACTTATTCTGAACTCCACAAATCAGATTAAGTGAGGGCAGCAGAAAAAAAAATAAGCTGAGATAGTTCCAGATGAGCAGCAGGCCATAACCTAAGCTTGTCATGGCCTCTTGCTATTTAAAAGAAAAAGATGCAAACAGAGGATAAAGCAAATCAAATAAAGGTACAAAATACATCTCCACACAACTGAATTGATTTAACTCTGTATTGAAAATTGAGCTGGACTGTGTGTACTTAGATGGCACCAGAAGGAAAAACATTTGCTCCAGCCACAGAGTCAGAAATGGAGAAATGAGAAGATAGCCCACATCAGACTTACTTTGTGAGAGGAATAGGAAGGATTTAATGACAGTGAGAGGCACTGGGAGTTATCATCTCTCCAGTTTCCAAATGGTAACATAAGTCATGTTCTAGTCAGTGTGTGAATAAGATAAGCCAGTGAAGAAAATGGATGAAGCTCCTGTCACTGGTGCTCTGCTGCTTGAGGCAGCACTCACCTCGTGATGGAGAAATTAGAGTAGAAACTGTTTTATCGACTGATCTCAAAAGCAGAGAGCTAGTGATTGAGATGAGGGGTGTAGATGACTGGTCAAAGTGCAGTCTGATGTTTTCTCTTGGCAGCCTCAGGAAGGGTGGCTGCCTTGCCAGGCTTTTCCTTTAAACATGTACAATTCATGCTGCACATCTGCGGTGTACTACATCTCACTCTTTCAACAGGCACATGTTACCCCACAGTTTCTACTCTATGAAGACCCCAGAAAGTAATTCTGCTAAGACGATCTAACAAGGCACTCAGCAAAGTTCTCTGGAGAGCTGCGAAACAGTGACAAACCCAATGAAATGAAGGGTTGCCACACATCTACAAAATAAGAAGTCAGGCTCATCAATCTTTTGCTATCAAAACACTCTCTCATACATACAAATTTCCCCACTTGCTTTTGTGAAGCTGTTTCAGTGAAGCATGATAAATGCTAGAGAGTAAATGAGGATATCAGAAGGGACTAACTGGTGAACTTGGTGCAAAGCACATATATAATTAGTGCCCCAGTGGAAGTATCTGATCAGAACCTGACGGCAGTGCAGGCTCCAAATAACTACCCTGAGAGATCAATATTGTGGATGTAGCTATATAACTGTGTAGCTTTGTTTTCCTTATTCTGCATCCTTAACATTAAGGAAGGACTGAATGTCTTACTATATTGCAGGCAGCCTCTTAGAAAATATACACTTCTATTTATTTTGCTTCAGAGGTTTTGACTGTGGCTTGTCTTCATCTAACCAAAGCTGGAAGACAGTGAGTTACCAATGTCAGAAAAACCTCAGTTTAATGTTTACTTAGAAACAGCGTCAGTAGCACACCAAGCAGACACAGCTCTGCACATAGAAAGACAGGTGTTAAATCATCAGACCCACTTTCCTCAGCACCTGGGTGTTCCTCAGAGGTTTTAACATCCAGCTGTGGATTGGACCAGCCCTCCTTTACCTTATAAGTTGTGATGAATTCCCCTGAAGTACAGTTTGGCTTCTGGCCAGTAATGCTCTACAGTTCTATAATTTAATTGCACTCCTCCAATGTTTGGGGAGTAAATTACGAATGTCTAAAGAGATAACTACAGATAAATCAACAAAGTGGATCCCAATGCACTCCCATTTCAGAAGGCAGACTGTGGGGAGAAAATGTTACAGAACTAAACAATGGAAAGACAGAGATGAGAGAGCATTTCTGAGTAATAGTGACATTCAAGTGCTTTACATAGTGCTTTTACATACATATAATTTTCTATATTCATATATATAAATGCATAAATACAAATATGAATTTATTCACACACACGCAAATAGAGAAGGAATAACAGGAAAAGTTTCCATTCCTCACAGACAAAAGACAGACAAGTCTAATGCAGGTAATTTTTTCATATACATCGTTTTCATGAAGATTGAAGTACCTTTGTATTTGTAGTATTTTTAATAGTTTTTGGGAAAAAAAAAAAAAAAGGAATTACTGGGAAGTCAGCTAGGCTGTGGTTTGGAAAAAATAATAATAATAATAAAAACCACAAACAGCTTTTTACAGAAGCTCTCCAATGCTCAATCTATATCTGTATCAAAGAAGAGTTTCACAGCAATATAAGCCTTTATTTATTTATTTATTTATAAACTGTGGCAGTTACAACAGATGGAGGAATCATGCAGAGGTAGAAGCATGTAATTGCTCTATGTAGTTATGCACAAAGCCAAACTTTGTTAATTCAACACTAACATTGCAGCCCAGAGGATATAGAATAACTTCTGTCCCTGTGCGTCCTGACACTGGGTCATTCTCAAGTTGTTAAAGAAACACTAAGAGGAAAACATATAGCCAAATGTTCTCCAGCAAATCTCTCATGCCTCAACAGCTCAAGTCAAGCTAAAGAGGGAAAATTCTCTGTGGTTCTATGCTTGTGTGGTAAATACACTCATACCATCCCATGGGTGATGCTGAAGAATCCCAGCTGGGCAGGGATGAAAGAAAACCAGAAGCCATTCCAGCTGCTGTGCAGAAGGAGAAAACTTAGCACACAGGCAGTAGTCATCCCAGGCCAGAAAAAGCAGCATCTTCCTCCATTCCTCCCCTCAAATTTGCTCCACTGCGCATGTAAGACAGGTTGAGGGATATGGATATGGAGGGGCTGGCAAGTGCTCAGTCAGCAATCCTGCCTCAGGAGCCATATGACTTCCAATGACCTTCATAACACCTATGGAAATATTGATGTAAAATAGTCATTTAAGGTCATTTTTATTCATTTAAGATCATTTTTATTCCCCTTGCACCCTAGACTCTGGGCATTTCTGAAATAACATCTATAGGAGGAGGAGGCAGAAGTTATATAAAACCTACAGTTTTTACTTTTTAAGCACAGGCTAATGAAATATTGTTGAGCAAATAAACTACCCCTGACTCATATCCATAGACAACACCAATTTCCTGCCTCCATAAAACAGGGAGCAGCAAGCTCCATCATTAATTTTCTCAAGCAAGAAATATTTCCACAGTTTGTTTGAAATCTGTTTCTTGACAGCCAGTCTATGTTCTCCTTTTCTTCAGCTTCATCCCACTATGTGAAGGCCCACACTTCAAGGCCACCTCAGTCCTCTCTTCACTGTTCTCAGGCAATTTTGTCTTAGTCATCACCTCTGCCAGGTGGTTGAGAAGAACAGCCCTGATCTAAGAGAATTCCCACTCCTTTTCCCAGCCACTGTGGAGAGAAGATAGGTTTCCTTTCTAACATATGGCAGCTATAATTTCAGCCTGAATAGCAGCAGGTTTATTTCTGTGCTCCTACAACTGAGGATTCCCTTTAAGGAGAAATCCAATCTTTTCTTTCCAAGTCAGCATGTAATTACATACAAGCCAGACGTGGTCTGTAGTATCTTCACAATTAACCTTGTCCCAGAAAAGGACTAGGCTGGGTGCAGCACCATACAATATATTCCAACAAACACAGGGTGGGAGCAGAGCCAAAAAGCTGACTATTCTCAGCATTAACTCTAGCCTACTGTCATTGGTGTTTTTGTTGCTCCCATGCTTGAGGCATCTGGGTGCCATGAACTGTTGGGCACTACTTTAGTGCTTCCCAGTGTGATAGAAACTACTAATATGCCTCTTTTAGAAATAAGTAATCAAAGCACAGAGAGAATAAGATTTCTCCATTAAACTGAATGTTGATTTCTTTACCCTTAATGAAGCATTACTGGAGTTAAAGTCTAAGTGCTTCTACCACAGAGTCCTAAATAGTTAAGTCTTATTTTATGAATGTGGTGTCCATGAAAACACAAAACAAATCTGCTTTTCCCCTCTCCCCTTACACAGAAATGATTAACCAAAGAGAAGGCTTGTATAAAAGCAGAGTGCACATTGTCCTCCTCTTTGATTTGAGTGCAGATTTGAAGCAGTTCAGACCAGAAATAGGGTCTCAAAAGGAAAGCTAAAGATTAAGGCTAAACCCATAATAAGGAATTGTTAAAACCAAACTCATAAGTAAGAAAGCACACATATGGACTGTCTGAACTATGTGAACTTTTGTATCTCCTATATTTCCACCTGATTAGAAGCTTTCCTATCTTGTACTCCTTTAGCTTTTGCAGTATATTTTCTATTTAATCAGTCCTGAAATGTTACATCCTCCAATGTCTTCTAAAATATCTTTTCAGTTCTTAATACAGCCCTTGATTTCAAAGCCTTGAGCTGGGCAATGGTACCAGGAACACTAACTTAGCCCAATACCAGTCTGGTATTCACAGCTGTAAAGACTGGAAAGCTACTGGTTGTGCTTTTAAATTACATCCTCATTTGAAAGGAAAACACTGCAAAGTTAAAGTAAAACCATGTTTCTTCTACAAAATGGCTGGAAATCTGGGCAAAGTTTCTGAGACGCTTAGCTGCCAGGAAGATGTCTGCACAACTGGCAGCAGCAGTAACAAATGACCCAGTCCTGGCAAAAAGGAGCAAAAAATGTATATTATTGGTCATAATTCATTGTTGTCTGGACAAGGAGCAGTTTCACAATGAAATGACCATGTGTTAACCTGGATGTCAAACACAAGTGGAGCCAGTGCTTCATAGCTTACTGCTGACACCAGGCGTTCATTGTTCAGAAACTGCTCAGGTAGAGGTAGGCCTCTCTACTCAGCAGGAGATACGACTGCACATAGGGTCCTTGTATACAGAGCCATAGGTTTCAGCAAGATCATGCCTCAGCCTGTACTTCTTAAAGGGGTTGTCTTCTCCTTCACACCTTTCACCCTCTTCTGCCTCCTACCCTATTCCTGCCTCCTGTCCTCTGCACACCCTCATCTTCTTCTCAGGTACCAAAGCAACATTCAAGACAACAGCTTACTTTGCTGACCTTCTTAGTTTATCACTTCCTCTGGTGCTGCTGCTCCAAGACTGTTTTTCTCCAGCAGACAAAAAGAGGTCTGTTAGACCAAATGTTGTTTCTGCAAAAGCAGTATAAGTGGTATATTTATTTCACCAGGGGAAATGCTTCCAAAGTCTGATTTCCATAAAGCTTTCAAAATGAATCTTAGGTAACCCTCCTCAACTGAATCAGCTCTGTGATACAGTCAAGGGTGGAAACCATCCAAGCAAAATTAAATAGGAGCTGTTTGACATTTATTTCTTTTTTACAGTAGCATTTAGATATATATCCAACAGAAGTAAATACTAAAGTAGCTGATAAGCCTGTAAACTGACAAACTTGAAGGCATCCCAAATAAGCTATCTTTAACTACTGGCTCAGAGCAGTACCACTTTCATAAATAAATAAATAAATAAAGATTGCATAACGGAGTTTAGAATTTGTTTCATAACAAGTTTGAACTAAAGCTCCTGACCCAAGCATCCCAAAATGTGTTCACAGCATCCTGTTAATATGAACAATGGAGAGAAAGGAGCGTCTTCTCTAAGCTGAACACTTGTGCGAAAAACAAGGATGAACTGAAAGGAGCCACAACAGAGCCTGGTGGTTGGTGACTTCTGTCCCTGTAGAATCAATAAAGTATTCAAGGAGCTAATACACTTTCAAGCTGTCTTTACTGCTGCCTGTTGGCACTTAGCAGCAAGACCACTGAACTGAGAGTAAGAAATGTCCAGAGGAGATTTACAGAGTCATTGATGAAGTACTAGTTTCTCCACACAAGCAGCTCTTCAGCCTAAAATGTGCTTGAAAACGCAGTGTGAATCCCATAAAACGTGCTTCTACCAGGAGATATCCCATGTAAACTGGACAGAAATAAGCTGCCTGGTGTGGAAGCTGGGAATCAATTCAAATAAAACAGCTGCTGCTGTGATGAAGTCTCAGTACTGCACTGATGGGTTTATGTTGATCACTTACCCAAATTTTCAAAAAATATAGAACATACTAAGATGAAAATATTATGCTATCCTACTTATTAGCATTTAATTCAGATTCCCACTATAGCCAAACCTGCCACACCATTTGACTTTCTCCAGAATTTTCTGCAAAATATATAACGCAAGTGATGCCAGGCTGAAAGAGCTAAGATACATGATCTTGCCTTATGCAGAAAACCAAGTTATGGTCATAGGCTCCCAGATTTTATTCTGAGACTTGCCACAATTTCCATTACTACCAGCATAACTATCAGGACAACTGTCAAATTGTTCTTTGGATGGGGACTACTACTGCTACTTTGTTTAAAACAAGGATAAGATCTACCATTCTTCCTTAGAATTTCAAAGCAGATATTTTGTGTATATGCTCTAAAATAAATGTGTAATATAGGCAAGACTACTGTTTCCGTCTATACAAAGCAGGTTGCATAGTAAGGAATACAAAATATATCACATTTATTGTACTATCATTGCAACCTTCACTGTATCTTACCCCCCCCCTCCTCACTCCCTCAACTCTGCCAGGTAAGAAAGGAATGAGGATCAAAACACATGGCAATAATGGCACCTGCAGAAGTAAGCTCCCAGTAAAAAACTGGTTAAGAAATTTGCAGTTTGACCATCACTGTAGCAGCAGTTAAAAGTGCACTCTAATATAGCAAGCTACCATCAAGGAACCTGATTATTCTCTAAGTCACCTATGCATATGGATTGTCACAGAAGGAGACACATCTAGGTAGAGTAGGCTGTGCAATGCTGCTGGATAGAACAACATCTGTGTCAAAATGGTGTGGAAAAGATTGATCCAAAGTTCTCTGAAACTAATGCAGAGAGTCTGAGAAACATGGGCATTCACAATCCAGCCCTACTCTTGGCTGAGGAACTGCCTGAATGTTCTGAATTTCAGATATTCCTATCTTAAGTACCTATGGCATGCATGTAGTCAAAATGCTTCAGAAACATGAATTCTCACAAACACTCATTGTCATTAAAGATCAGGCCATTGCTGTTACCCTGAATTAAAAAACAACACCTCCTGCAGTGCTAATTGCTGGTCCTGACTGCCCAAACTGAGAAAATTTCAGTGTTTATTTTTGTTTTGTTTTGTTTTTCTTTCTTTCTTTCATGCTAGAACTATGTTTTGAAGGTCAGTGGAATATCTATGGCCTCTTATACACACTAATTGCCACAAATCACCATGTGTCATCTTAATTATAAAAGCATCTTTAAGGAACATGCTACAAAGCAGAGATTCTAATTACTTACTCTGCATGTTCTCTGACAGGAGTTTATGAGGAGAAAAATGCAATTCAAAAAGCTGGTTGATAAAGTCATTCCTTCCAATTACTTCAAAAGAAGCCATTATCCTCAGGGTGCAGCAGGTGCTAAACAGGGACAGGAACTAGTTTTTCCTACATACACCCATACCATCTGCCCAGAGCACAATGGAGCATTTCCATGAATGTCCCCATAGGATCTCTACTACTGCAATGACACTGAAGTCAAAGAAAGGATTTGTAATGTATTTCATACAGAAGTGCTGGAAATAAGGCATATATTTTCATCGCTTGCCTATCTGAAGAAATACAAAAGGTCAGAGCAAGCAGCCAAACCCATAGGGTTTGGATGTAGCCTTTGCTGAAAGAAAAGAAGTACTTTAAAATGAGATGGAAAGATTATTACCAGTCTTTGTAAGACTGACCAGTTACATAACCAGAGGTGGAAAACTGCAGAATACCTCTCTATGCAAAACAACCTCTGGCCTAAAAAATGTGATTGACATTAATACAGAGCGATCGTTGCTGAGCCACCTTGGTGACATATAAGTCAGCATAAGCTATCCACAGGCTAAGCCAAAAATGAAGTTGTGTTTTACCACATCACCACATTAAAGCCAATTGTTTGTGTGTAAATTACAATTATGGTTAAGAGATAATGGTATAGTTCTCTGTTCCTCATGTAGCATGCCACTCATATTTAATTTCAGATTCAGCAGCTAAATACGTCAGTGGCTTACAACAGTAGTAACTAAGGTTTTATATATGGTTCGTTCTGTGGGTTTTCCTCTTCCTTCAGAAGCATTACTTCTTTCACTGCAGTCACTGCCAGAAGCCAGCCTAAGCCCTACAAACATTGATATCATTTCTGGAATGTGTGCTTTTTTCACCAACAGAACAAAAAAAAAAATCTGAACAAACCACCAACCTAGCAAGAGTAAAGAAGAAATAAATTATTTTTCTGATTCAATTTCTCACTCATGCCACACTTTCCTCCACGGCAGAAATAAAATACCTGAGCATTCTGACAATGTACATTACTAAAACAGGCTGCAGCTGCCAAATCGAACTGACAGAGGAAACTGTTTTTTCATATTAGAGGGTTCAATCGTCATGGACACAATGGGAAAAATCCAAAGGGCAGAAAGTGAAAACCAGCTCCAGATAGCTGATACTAAATGAAAACTGTTACCAATTTGGGTTCTTTACATTTACTACCATCTCTCTAAAATATGCAGATGTTAGCTAGGACATGTCAGTTGTGATGTGGAGGAAGGGAATTTCTCTGCAGTTCATTGCATTGTTTGATGTAGTGTGCGCATGCCAGCCTGGGTAACATTAATGAAGAATCTGTGATCTATCCATCATTCTCCCTGTACACCTTCACAAACTTTGAAGGTTCACTTTCCCTTACCTTTACTTAATTTAAGAGGAGGTAAGGATACAGAACTAAGTGAATAGTTGTCATAGGTTTTTTTGTTTGTTTGTTTTGGTTTGTTTTTTTAAAAGCATTCAAAATTTAAGCTAGCAGGTAGCAAACAGTTGGGTCTATGTGGGTGGGTAGGTGGGTGAACATCCAAAAATGAACTTTTGAACTCTCCAGCAGAAGCCTGCTATTTGCTAGTTGCAATAGAAGTAGTCAGGCTGTAAATTTTGAAGACACCTGGACTAAACAAAAGTAGAATGTCTTTCAATTAAGGAAGAGACATAAGACAGGAGCACCAATTAGAAGGCTGATCACACATTATGCTTCTTCACATATACTATTAGTGTTGGCAAAATCAGGGGGTTATGGTTTCAGAAAGGAGACCAACAAGAGATGCTGCACAGAGAAACAGTGGCGTTGGAAAGAAGAAATGGGCCTGGAAATAGGAAGGTGAAGATTCCAGCTGGAGGAAAGATCATAGAAGTGGGGGAAGATCTGGGACATCAAAGAGCTGAGTGGATATGAATGCTGGGGGAGACCCAGGGGTGTTGGCCAGTAGCAGCTAAGACTGACACCTGCAAGCAACAGCACAGTGTGAAGTAACATGACTTTTTGTCCAGCCTTCCCAGATCAACAACATTCTCCCCATACAGAAGAAAAAATGAGACCTAGTGAACACAACAGTGATAAGGGAGCATGTGAATGAGAGAGATAATCAAGAAGGGCAAAAGCTTTGACCTCAACTGTTCTTAAGTCTCAGTATCCAGCTCCACTACAGCTGTTAACCTGTGACAGCAATGTTCAGTGTTCACTGGAACGCAGAAGAGATTGATCTGTTGCAACAGCTCATAGTGGATACACAGGCTGTACCCACAGGACTGCTGTTAAGTAATGTCATCAGTGCTAGAGAGAACTTAACTTTATTTTCCTTCCTTCAGCTTGCTCTGCCACTCTTCAGGAATCTCTGGTTTCCAAACTGAACAAGTCACATGCCACCACCTAAAGTGGCACTAACCAGAGCAAGAAAGTGGCAGAAAACTGCAGCTAGGAAGAGATCACTGCTCTGTTCTGGCACTGAAGATTATCAGGACAGCATAGGACTAGGGGAGCAGTGGAGCTACATGGGGAGTTGCCACTGGGAGAGACTTGCACAAGAGCCTATGCATAACCCCATCTTCTCTAAGGTAAGGAGCAGCAGAAAGCAGATCTTTAGCTGGACTTCTCTACATTTCCAGCAGTGTGGCTGAGAAATGGTAAACAGAAAAATTACCTACCTTTTCTCCTTCCCTCCTTTTCTCCAGTGAGTCTGCAGCCAGTAATGTTCATTCTTGCTCTAATCATTGGGAAAAATGACGTTAAATGAGTGGGCCACAACTACAGGGAGGCAGTAACAGAAATATGAACAGCTCTTGGGAGGTGGAATGCCTGATCTCCTGTTCCAGTGCTGTCATGTACTTAGGAATAGCAGACATGATCCAAAACCTCTCAGATGTGAGCAATTCTCAGACTCCTACAATAAACCCTTTCTCAGCTCAGCTGGAAGAAAAAATAGACAAACACTAAAACTACAAATCCATTTCCAGTGAATCATCTGGTTACCAGTCACTTTTGTATGACATAATTTGCATGCTATTCATAAACTGATTTTGTCTCTGATGTTACAAAACCAGCAGATTTACAACAAGCAAAACCTTCCACATAAACCCTGCAGGAAGAAAGCCTTCAGGGCTGTTGCCTCAGTGTACTGGTTTGGCTGCACGAGCCAGGCTGCAGCTACATACACATGAAGATTACTATTGCAGGGCATGCCTGCATCCAGTGCATGAGCACAAGGAGCTCACGGAATCCCCCGTAGCCCAAGGACAGAGATTCCAAAACCCCTCACTCCACAAGGGACTGCATTGGGTAGTGAGTTAAAAGATCCTGTTTGCTGTATCCAGCAATCACTGGCCACTTTCCCAATCTCAATGTCTCAATCTCCATACAGTATTCATACACTGTGCATCGGACCCTGACCAAAGCTCACAACCCCCAGTTTGGCTAGCATTTGAGGCTTATGATCCTCAATTTAGCTAGCATTGAAGACTACCTAAGCTTGCTTTTCAATGTGAAAAAAAAAAAAAACAACAAAAACAAAAACAAAAACATTTTATGCCAAAAATAGAAGCATATCACATTGGTTGACCTTCTAATGAAGCCTAGCAGCTAAGTATTCACTTTTTTTAATTTGTTAACATAGTGACAACGATACAGTTGAGAAATAAGAGAAGATGCTTCTTGCTGGGAAACACATCAGGAAGAAACCCACTTCTAAGCAAATTTCTTTGTGACTGCCAGGTACTTACTTTCCTATAGACCTATTTAAAGAAAACAGCATTTTAATATTGAAAGATTATAGGTTAATATGACTTTAGGATTACAAGCAGCAAACTAACCTCATAAAAAAAAATCAAAGTTTAACAGATTAATTGCAGTTTCCTTCACTGAAGGGCTATTTAGAGACAAACAAACAAACCGAGAAGCAGAGTTAGATTTTAAATTTAGCACTGTTCTATGAATCCATCCAATTGTAAAGTGAATTTGGGTTAACTGGGTCATGCGAATTTCTTAATAATTCAGGACACATTTTTAATACACATGCCACAAAAGCAATTAATTCATATTTTCTAAAAAGGTGTCATGAACCAGCACTTTTACAGAGATTCTTACTTTTCTACTTTCTTTTTCTTTTTAAGAACACAGAACTGTTTTTGTTTGGTTTTGATGCTATTGTACCACTGTTTTTTGTTAGTTTGTTTGTTTGTTTTGTGCTAGCTTCTTTAGGGAAGCTGTAGCAATCAGCAGGGAATTTAGCTCCATCCTAATAGTTACCTAGAGTCGATTCTTGGGACACTGGCTATAAATAAACAGCTAAATATAGTATGAACAAAGACAAAAGCACTTTCTGACTTCCATCCACACTGTGCAGGATGAGCCCACTGCACCACTGAGTTATCTGCAACAGAACTAAGTGGAACAGTCCAAAACAGAGCCAGGAAGAAAGTAAGTAATCAAGGAGCACTGGGAGGGCTGGGGCAAGAACTCTGTCGATACTAATTTAACAGTACACACGTTCCCATATCTTAGGACTCTGATGCTTGGGTAGAATGCACTAATAATAGGTTGCTTGCCTGTATTTCACTGCCTGTGCTAGAAATTGTATAAAGTCAATTAAGTTTTCTTTCAATACATGCCCAGGTTGTACTATCAAAAATTTCCAGAAGACAATAGAGCTCAGCAGAATGACGAATCAATATATTAATTTGTCCAGGGCATTTACATCATGTGTGCTGAGGATATTAAGAGAATAACCAATTTTGCAAAATGCCTTCAAGTGACAAGCTGAATTGGCACTAACAAGTTAACCCCACGCCCTCTCAGGGAAGGGGAATGCAGCTGCAGCAGTCATTCTGTTGGATTAAGAATCTTTCACACTCAGAGTTAAATATTATGAATCTACATGCAAGTTATTTTACAAGAAAATTGTAAAACCTCTAACTAGAGACTTAAAACCAAAAGCCAACAACAATAACAAAACTAACAAAAAGGCAAGTTCATTGCAATTTTTCCTTCCCAGTAACCAACCATGACAAAATAGTAACCCTGTGAATAATTCCATTTTATGGTCCATGCACTTACTTGTACTATTTTATAGAAAGTACAAGAAAGGAAGAAATGAATTTTTCTGCAAATCAGTCAATTCAGAGCTACTAACTTTGCACAGTTAGGGTGGTAATGGTATTGCTCTTTTCAGCTTCAGATACAGAAGATGCTTACCAATTCTCCTTGCTATCAATCAGCAGAAACTTCTTTAACTCAGCAGCTACAAACATGAGGGTTCACTCAGGCTTCAAACATGGTCCACAGCAAGAATGCCACAGACTCCCTGAGGAATAATGGAATCCCTGAAAAGCCACATGTTACAGCTGACTGTGTTCCTGCTAGGTGCAGTTCATTGAAGTCCTCACAAATCAAAAAAAAACTTAGAAATGCAAGGCTGCTCAACCACAATCTGCCTTGAATCCATTAAACAAGAAAGGGATGCACCTGCTAGAAAGGTGTATAAAAGAGCTCTTGTGAACTGTTTACAAGCAGAATCACTAAACAAGAGATCAACAAATATGCTGATTTACCTGAACTGTGGCACTAATATGCTCTTTGATGTCCCTCTCCTCTGAATTTTTTCAATACCTGATGAAACATGAAAGCTCAAGTCTTTTTCCAAAGGTGAAAATTAATGTTTTGAGACTACTGTAACATATTGGACAGTAAATCCTTTCTCATTTTATGTCCTAAAGTGGACTGTTGCCAGCTCACACATTATTTTAGAATTTTTTCTTAAAGCTACAGCAATATGAGTCAGAAGGATCTCCATTTTTAACCAAGTAATTTAACATTTGTGGTTTTGGAATTAAGGGGGAAATATACCACCCATTGAAGCTCAAAGCCTAGCTAGAAAATTGTGCTCTTTTCCTAAATTTAAATAAAAATCAAATCCTGAGTTTTACCCTAGTTCTTGGTGGTCACATACATTACTGGTCACTGAATACTTGGAGCTAATCTTACTAAGTCTATAGCATTTATTTCTTCAATACCGTTTATCACTCTGAATACGTGTAAAAGAGTGAGAATGCAATAGCAGTTGCAAGCAAATATGTCCACCTATAGTACTTCTTGCCCTCCTTCCTCCCCCCCCCAAAGTTTTGGGTATGTAGTCATATTGGGGAGAGAGACAAGCAAGTAAGAGGTACATATAAATAGATAGATAAATAAATAGATATATAGATAAGAAACCAAGTAGAGGACCAGCACTATTACTGTTCCTGCCATGGCATATAGCCCCTGCTCATACCCGATCAGACATTAGAGAATCACATAGACACACCCTTTGAAAGGCACCTCTGTAAAACAGGCCTCCCTAGATCCACATCACCCCAAAATCATTTTATTTATAAATGCAGCACTCAGCTCATTTCTAAAACAATTACTTGCCTGTCTAAGTCTAAATATATTTCAAAGTTCAGAATTAAAAAAAAAAAAAAGTAGTTTAAACTATTCCTTTAATCTATTCCCCACTAACACATGCTGTCTGTGCTGTCCTCCCAGTTCCAGATGGCAAGCCATTACCAAAAACATATCATTCTTTCTGGATGTCTTTCTAAAACACAACCCAACCAGAAGCTCAGTTTGATGCCACTATTAGTGGCCGTATTCTTTGGCTTGAATTGTGCAGAAGATCTAATTAAATTATTATAATGGCCGATCTTGGCCTTAAAACAAAACCAATAGAAAACAACATATAATATATAATTCCCACTTTCCCCCTCTAAAGACCACAAATAGCTGTGGGCTGACTTTCTTCTATAGAGAGAAATCTAACAGTATATGCTGTGGGTATACCAACCGATGCCGGTGAAGTAATCTCATTTGTTTCATCCCCATAGTGATTGCATAGCATTTCTGGGAAGTGGAGCTCTTGGCTCACAAATTAAGAACCACAAATGTTACTCTTACTGATGCATTAGGCTCTGTGCAGCATGTGGTACTGAGTGGAGGACTTGGTGCCTAAGGACTGGTTTGTATGCTGCACGTGAGCCTTACCTTCCACAGGAGGATGTGAGCCAGTCTGGGGCTGCTTTCAGGTCTAACCCCAACACTGCAGATGGCTTTTGTTTTTGTAGCTCTCCATGAAAAAAAAAAAAAAAAAAAAAAAAAAAAAAAAAAGGCTTTAAAAGGTTCTAGTAGGTTTTGTTGGATGTGGTATGTGCAGATTCAAACTGTGTTTTGTAAGAACTAATCTTTACTGTTAGTAGCTTCACTTCTTAGAGATTCTGACAAACATGACATAGCAAGGTACCTGGGGAGTTGTCCCCAATACAGAATCAAAAATGCTGCAAGGGGACTCGCTGGGAGTCACTCTGCCTGGCATTGTTTAGCGTCAACAACATCATTTGTGCAGCAGTTGCGCTATATACATTTGAAATAGAATTTGGTGCATTAATGCATTCTATATGCACATTCTGTTCTATCCAGAAGCGTTTTGAGAAACTTTAAAGGGAGAACCAAATATTGTAAAATGCTGCTAAAAGCAGCAGGCCAAGTGTTACAGAGCAAGCTGCAGTAGTGCAGCTGGATTTTTTGTATTTAAATAGCCAGATTCAAATTAGGCAGAAATCATTCAAATTCAGCTTTCTGGCCCAAAGCTTCCTAAAGACAAACTCTCTGACTTCATCAAGGCATTTCTTTCTCTACAGGACTGAAAAATGCATACTGGCACTTGTAACACTGGGAGAATACCAAACAAACCTGCTTGCTCTGAGTCCAACTTACTCCAGATGCTGCAGTTACTAATCAATGTCAGTTTGATTTTACACTAATATCCCAGTTAATCTTCAGGATTTCAGTTGCAGCAGACCTTCATTACAGATCTCCAGCATGCCTACAGTGGCTGCGGAAATATAAAAATAATGACAGCATAGGATAAAGACATCAGTTGCCACTTATTTTAATTTGTTTCGCCATGTGTATAATAAAACACTTCTTGCCAAAAATAAATGCATATAACAGTATGTTTTCTGTACCTTGCATATGATTTTGGTTTTGATAAATCTTATGATCAAAACCAGTGTGAGCAAATTTATTACTAAAATTTATACCACAGTGTGAATTTACTTCTTCAAACTGGGCTGCTAATAAAAGGTGTTGCGGGTGACAACCCTTAGTTCAATTTGGTCCCTGGAGCTGAGGAAAAAACAAACAAACAAACAAAAACAAACAAACAAAAACCACAACAATATTTGCATAAGCTGTCAGGTTTATTTAGTCAGGAGAATAGATTTACTTTACAAATGTTTATAAACGAAATACTCTTCTTGCCCTTCCCTTATTTCTGTGCCAGCCATTTCCTGTTAAGTGGATTTCTCAACTCAAACAAAATGTATTAAAGATTGAGGGAGTATAAGCATGCCTTTTACATGCAAAGTTGCTGGTGGATGATGTGCCTGATGAAACCACAGCTGATCAAACCACAATGCCTCAGGGAAGAGAAGACTTTGTTCTCTGAGTTTTGTGAGGGAGGCAAAGGGACTTGCCTTTATCTCAAAGAAAGAGGAAGTATTTTCCAAGTAGAATAACCAGGCAGATGGAAAAAGTAAGTGGACGGCAGGTGAGCTTTGTAAAATGACAAAATGGAATCAAAAAAGGGAAATGTTTCAACCACTGATTGTATAAGCCACTCAGATGCAAAGAATGAAAAAAAAAAATATATATATATATAATTTAGACACAACGTCATTCAAGGTCTCTACTTATTTTAGCAATTCAAGATGCCAATTTACATCACACAGAGCTGGTTTGCTCAACTCTGACATATAGGACTAGTAGTGTGTCAAAACATAATGTCTTTAAACCCTGTCTCACCTCAAGTTGCCCAGTTAGTTATAAGTAACATACATACATTAGATTAACTCTCTGCATATAGATCATCTTGATCATTACAAATTTCTCCATGGGCTAGATGGCCTCTAGGAAGGTATGTTGACAATTTATACCCTGGCCAGACCCCTTCCAAACAGTATTTGGTATTCAACAGCACTCTTGCTGTCCTAATCCCACGTGTCTGTTTGTAATCCGCATTATGTTTACTGATGCAACAGACATTGCAACTAGAAAGAGAAGACATCTGCTGCCAAAGAAAGTATAAACATTAACATTTAACAAGATCCTAGGAAATGCTGAACCTAAGCAGATACATTCAGAATAGACTGATCATTTTTCTCACCTCTTTCATGAAATCCAAGATGACATTTTTCAGATATGGTAAGAGGGACTTTATTATTGCTCCACATACCCCTTTCATTTTCACATGCATCTCACTTTTTGGCTCTGGCTGGAACCAGGGACAAGGGCAGGATGCTCTCATCAGTCCAGCCTGACTAGAAAAGGGAAACATTAGAAATCTAATGAAGAGCACGTCCTCTGCAGATTTCCAGTCCAGTTTTGCAGATGCAGCTGTAGTTCAGATAAGCAAGACGACTTCTGGGTTCTCACTTGAATTGAATTATTCTGTTGCTCTGCAACATTAACAAAAACAACCATGGCATAAGGTTGTTGGTGGAGATGATTAGTGGAATCTGTAGCTACCTAAAATCTGTAGTTTCAGCTCAGTTTTCTGAGTGCTGGTACTCAACACAATGATGTCCTCAATTCTCACCAACATTGCATTTTCTAAATGATCTGACCCCTACAGAGCAGCACTCAAGCAAGTTTGCTTTGCTTAAGTAGGCCCACCATTGAGCAAAATTACTCTTTTATTTACAATCACAGAAAAGCTGTTCATCAGCCATTTAGCCTAAGTCATCGCACTTGTGCTTTGCTATAGCTTTCCACTTCCCTGTCCCTCTCACTCAGCTTGAGCACCTCATCTCCTGGCTACATTGCCCAGCACAGGCCAACGTGCTGGCTGTCCTTGGTAGGTGACACTTCTCCCCCATTGTAAATGTCTCCAGTTCAATTAGTGAAACATCAGCTGCACAGTCTATGGCTGCAACATACAGAGGGCTTCCACTGTTGTCAGGACATGCACTAAACACAGTGCCGAACAGAGTGGAGAATTTTGCCCTTATTTAGTGAAAATAACTTGGACACATGTTGAACTGATGAGCTCAACTGGGTGTACAGCAAATAGCCACAGTGATTTGTCAAGCTTTATTTAACACTCCTAAATAGTTTTATTTTGTTAGAGCTGAGCCATTCTAAAGCCTTTGGACTTGGGAACCAGTGTGCAAAATACCATTGAGTAGAGGAATGTGGGAAGGGGAAAACCATATAAAGTATCTGTAAACAGATACTGGTGATTACAGTGTGATCTGTGAATATTTAAATGGATTCTCTGACACGTTCTTGCTTGAAAACATTAACTATACTTTTTATTCTGTTACGCTACAGTAGCTGGCCATATGGTAGCTCCCCCATTTTTGAAGTGTTGCTTGTTTTTTTTTTTTCTTCAATACAGTATGGAACATACATTACATGACAGATTACCCACATATCGTCCTAATAAATTGATATTTAGATCTAGCCAACACATTAATTTTGCTAATTAAATGTCAATATGTGCCCAAGAGTGCAGCTCTTCAGCATTGTAAATGTCACAAATTAGCAAATTGACAGTATCATTTACAACGATACTGGCTCAGATTACAAGCAAACTCTGCCATGCTTCTCTGCAATAGCTGGGGGAGAGAGGAGAGAAGAGGAGGCAGAGCAGGGAGCTAGGGCAGAGAAAGGAGACACAAGTTTGAACATGAACGTGCTGTTAGAGGACATCACCTTTGAGCTCAGGAAAATCAGCTGGTGCAATTGCCTAGCATTAGCAGTCTGGCAAAATGGTCCTTAACTATGTCCACCAATCTTAATTTTAATGGGCTAGATTTTTTTTTCCATCCTGTTGTTTTGAGTGCTTGTGACAGAGCAATGTCTGCAGCAAAGAGAAAAACCTTCTCTGTCCCTCCTTTGTTTGAGGGAGGGTTGGGATTTTCCAGCCAGGCTTCTGTTACCTTGCACACAGGAACCCAATGATTTAGCAAGTAAAAACTGCTATTTCTATTATGTACTTTGCTTCAGCGATTCTTGTTTGTCGTCTTCTAAAGGTGATCTGATCTCCATTCCCTTGAGGAGATTCAGCTATATGACTTTCTCCAACTTCCCCGTGTCTCTTGATCTTCTACTGCCTGAATCCATTGATGGTAAATCCCATCATTGTAATGTCAGCCCAAGATGATAAATCAGTCTCACAGAAATTAAGACATTCAGTTATCAACTCTGAAGGAGTAAATTGATCTAGGGACATATTTGCCTACACTGTGGTGATATTGGCCAGATTTTCAACTACCATTACTGCTCAATTTCTACTGTTTTTTTCCCGCCTATCTTTGACATATGCACAAAATACTGCCTATGGCAATATTTTAAATAGATTTCCACAAGAAAATATAGGTTATAAAGGTTATCATTTCAAGAAAATATAACCTCATGCTGTAACTGTAGGCAGTTTTGAAGTTTTTAAAATTTCAAGACTGATTTTGAAGAAAACCTAGCATCTGAAGGGACGCTGAAATCACTAGCTGCTTTAGGAAAAAAATTGCCCTCCATCCAACACCAAGGGAGGTACCTGCACCAGCCCAATGCAAACCTACTCTGCACTGCCACCTTGTGACACAGAGACGTGCAGTGTGGGAGCCCGGCTTTGCATACTCTAATCTATTCACAGCACTTTGTGAAAAGTGATAGAGATGTATATTCCCTGTGAAAACCTCATGTTTACATGTTTTGACAATAAATATCTTAATGTACTACAAGGAAAGGCTTCATTTTTGAGTGCAGTACTGTCTTTAAAAGGTGACAGTAGCTAAAGAATGGCACTGTAGAGTTACCTTGGTTCCTCTTTCTGACATTGGTATTAACTATTGTTAGTTTGCCAAGTGAACTTTGAGTAATTCACCTTACAACTGTGTCCATCCACCTCTATCAAAAATAAATAAATAATAATAATAATAAAAAAAAAAGAGGCGGCAAGATAGCAACTCTAATTTATGTCTTTACAGATCTTTCCCCAGTTGTTGCCTAATCCTGTTGAAATCAAGTTCTCAACGTGAGATCTTCTGTGCTCCTCCGAAAGCACTTCAGCTGCCTGCTTTGTATCCAAGTATGTCAAAGGCACAACAGCAACTATAAACAGGTTGTCTTCTACCCCTGTTCCTGCATCCCACTGTTTTTTGCAGAGTACACTTAAGGAGAATGAACACTACTCCAAACGAGGTTAAGGAACAATGAAAAGTTAATGTTGTCCCTCTTATCCTATACACATAAGGAGAATTCATTGCCTTCTCTTTAAGCCCTACTCCTCAGTATAATTTGTTTGGTATTTATTGACCTAAAGTAGAGAGTGAGTATGACTTTTACCCTGTGGTTAGAAAACTTACTTGGTACATAGGAGGACTGTGCTGTAGTTTCTTGTTTCATTAAATAATTAACAAAAACAGTGGCACCAGAAATCTAAGGGAACTGCTCAAGAAAAGCAGAAATTCAATCATTTTTCTCAAATCTAATGACAAGTACACAAAAGAAAAATCACATCTCTATCCTTTGTGTAAAACAAATTTCTCTTAATTCTTTCACAGAAAGCTATCTAAATCCAAGAGAGCACCCACAAGTAAACAAAATAAAAACGGGGGAAAAAAGTCTAACTTTCTCAAATGTCTAGTAAAGTAACACGCACACAAAAACTAGATGGTTTCTTTTTTGCTAGTGTTTGCATTTTTGTAGGAAGCTACATGATTTGTGGGAAGTCTCCACACTTAATTCTGGACTACGCATTCTGCTAGACAGCCAGGTGACTAAGCAGGGACCATCTCAGCTCTTCACCAATTTTGTGACTTTTGCCAACTTTCTGCAGCTATAGAAAATAAAAAGTTATATTCTCTAACCACACACAATTAAAATTCAAGTCATGATTTTGCTCTGTCAATAAACAGGCTTTGAGGACTTCAATGAAAAATGCTATTTAAATGCAAGTCAATCTGCAATGTTTGAAATCAAAACTGGATTATATTAGAAATGATGGGGGGAGAGGGTGTTTGACAGAAGTGCTTTATTGCTTGTCTCAAACAAAATGACAGGAAAATAATTAAGCTTTGGCCTTTGGAATGCCTTCCTTGGTAGAATCAAACTGCAAAAATGCAATTAAAAATTAAATACATTCTATGATAAATACTTATTTCCACATTATGTTTTCGTAGTTACAGGAAACAAAACCATTATTGATTAAACAGACTGAAATAGTTTAATATCTTTTCTTTTCAAGAGCAAAAATCATATAGATCTTCCTTTGTCATAATTATCTGAATAAATGTAACTAGCCATCTGTGCTTTGGAGACAGAGAGATTCATGCTTGTGACTAATGCCCTTAAAATAAAGTGAAATACGAACTGCAGGCCCAACACTGCTGTTGTTGGAAGTAGAACAGTTCTGCTAGAAACCTAACTCCACATCAAGAAAGCCTACTGCAACTCATCAGTGCATATTATTTCTGGTCATGTTTGACAAACAAGTAGCCAGCTACCTGTTCTGTCTCACAGAGAGCAAGAAAATAAAAGTGTAATTTTTTTTCCAGACAAAACCCTTTAGATTTAATGCACATAGCTTTCAAGGCACTGTACTTAGTTTTGCCTTATTACACAGCACTACAAATATGCATAACAGAATTCACATGTATTACTTATGGTGCTTTTGGGGCTACATTGTCCCTTGTGCATGTTATCCTTCAGTGCATGCAGTAGCTTCCTACTAAATTAAATGCCATCTACTTTTGGTACCATTGTCAGAAAAAAAATAGACCTCTTTTCCTAATTTCCTTCATTCCTACAAAACCTTGAGAGGAATTACCCAAAGAAACTCTTCAGAATTCTTCAGCTTTTTTTTTTTTTTTTTGCTTTTTTTTTTTTTTAATGTAAGAGAGAATAGCACTGAACAATTCATTCAAGTAGAAATGTTTCTCTAAGAAGAAGTATTTCTTCTTAAACAGGTGAAAATCTAAAATCTGTGTTGTCTTCTCTGCCAGTTTTATATTGAGTTACCTTGAACGTAAGCCATTACTTTGTCTGTAGACTTATGTTCATCTATGAAAGCTCTGATATTTCTGGCATTTTGAAGTTCAACTCATCACAAAAGTTTAATAGTCTTAAGCAAGCAAAACATCACATAACAGAAGAGTTGGATATAGTAACCACGATTTGTGATGCTTCATTACATGCATGTCAGAACAATTGAGGGTGGCCAAAAACAGCTTGCTGAGCAGTAAAATATAACTTTAAACTCCTCCTTACTTGTAACAAAAGGGCAAGGAAAGTTATGCAAAATTTATTTGAATTCTTAATGTTTTATTAAAAAAAAAATAAATCACATTCTAGGCAGCATGCACAATCTTAAACCCGCATGCATAAGCAAATACAGCCATAAGCTAACTTAAGTTTGACTCAAAGAACCCGGCAGCAATACCATAAATACAAAAGAACCGATAAGAACATCTCACAGCCCTCCACCAGAACCTCACCTCACTTCTCAGCTGTGTGGAATTTCCCTTCTCTCGTGGTCTTGGAAGAAGATCCAAATTCCTACAGCTAAATACCAAGTGATATTGGAAAGTTGCAAGTCCAAGAAGGAACGTTCACAGCTTGCTGACTCTCCTGCTATCAACCAATCTTGAGCCCAAACTCCCATGTGGATGTCAACTAAGGAACTACGGATGAGACTTTGATAAGAGGGTCATGTACCTATGTAGAAATATAAAGCTTGTCCATCCTTCATCTAATGCAGGCTCATCTAAGTCTCATGTTAG